CTTGGATTCTTTGATCCAACAAGTTTATCTCCTTCTGGAACTAATCTAGTGTATGATGATGAAACAATATATTTAGCCTCATCTTTACCTGCAACAAAGTCTTGTAAACATTTTCTCATTGGTTCAGTGTATTGATACAATCTTACAACATCTTTAGTGAAGTCTTTAGCTTCTTCTCTAGTCATTGGTTGATAATTAGAAATGAAATGTCCTGGAATAGAGAAATCATATTCAGTTTGTTTATCAAATCCTCTGAAAACTGCATCATCTGGTCTTTGGAATAATCTTAATTCACAATTCTTAACAATTTTACATGCTTTCTTTTGCATATTATTAATTGGTGTTTTAAGTAATTTAGTTGGAACAATAACTGATGCTGTAATATCATCTTCCATTTGTAATTTAGCTGCTGGGAAGAAATCTTTTCTTAATTGGAAAACTCTCCATGTAGTTTCATCTCTTTCAAATCCAACTCTAAGATATTGTGAAGAGAGATTAGCTCCTCTATACTTTAATTCATTACCTTCATTTCCATTAATTTTATCTACAGTAATTCTTGATTGCCAATCTCCTTTCCAATCCTCTCTATAAAGAGATTTAATAGTCATAACTAATTCTACAATTAATGGTGAGATAGATGAAATATAATCATTATGTTCCTTAGTAAAGAGGTGTGATGGTGTTAACAATTCAACAACTGTTCCAAGAGTAACATTTGGATCAAGAATATGAATTGGTTTAACTTCTCCATTTGCATATCTTTTTGAAAAGTCATGATCAAATACTTTTTGAACTGCTTTAAAATCTTCTTCTTTGTTATTAACAAAGACACTTCCTTCAATAACAGCGTCTCGAATACTCTTTGAAATTTCTGATTTTCCTCCTCCTGAAACAGTACATGGTTTATGACAAAGAGTATATTGTGGAAGAATTCCTCTTAATGTCCATCTTCTGGATGTCATTGTATCATGTAAAATAATAGTATATCCATTTGGTAAAACATAATTTACTTTTGGTGTTAAAAGAATACTTTCTTCTTTTCCATTATGATTGAATTTAATTGATGCATCTTCAATTGTAAATACTGAATCTTCTGGAACATAAATAATTCCTTCTGGATATTTTTTATCTACAGCATATCCTTCTTCTTTAACAATAATGGAATGTTTATTCTTTTCAACCATTTCACTAAATTTATATCCTTCTGCATATTTACTTGCATCACATGATTCACCAAGATCATATGATGGTCTAGCAATAGCTCCTCCTGCATGTTCTTCTTCTGCAAATCCATATAAATTAGCTGAATATGAAATTTGTGTTTTAACTTCTTTCTTACAATATCCAAAGTAATTATCTGCAATAATAGTACAAATAACTCCTGATGCATCTCTACAATACATTTTGAATGTTTTACCATCATTATATAATTCATCTTCTTTTTCCCAACACATTCTTTCTCGTTTTTGTCTTTCAGTAGCTTGACTAATATGTGGAAGTCCACATTCTTTCTTTGTCATACGAGTAAGATGTGGTGCAAGAATAGCCATTCCACTATGTCCAGTCCATCCAAGTGGATCAAGAGCAGCATCATTTTTAGATAATCTTGGATTACCAGCATTTCCAAAAACTGACTCTACAAAATCAAGACATGACACCATATTTCCTGGTACAAAGAAATGCATTTCAGTAGCTTTTTCATGTTCAAATCCTTTAACTCCTTTAACTCCTGGAACAACAACTGGTCTCATATAAAGTGAAACCCATGATCTAGTTGGTTCTTTACATTCAGCTGTATATGGAATAATAAGATGATCATCTGGTGCTCCATAAAATGCTGCTTTAAGCATTCTTAAGAATGCTATTTTTGGACATTCAATTTTATCAGCTGGAACTGGAACATCACTTTGACAAATATGGAAAACACCAACAGTAGTTCTTTTATCTTTAGCTGGATTATGAAGTACTCCTTGTTTAATTTTATATGATTTCATAGTTTCACAGAAAAATTCTTGTTTATGTGGTGGGAATGATAATACTCTTCCAAGTCCTTCTCTATCAAGAATAAAAGTATCATCTGGAATTTTTGGTACTTCTTCTCCACATTCAGCAAAATATGAATTAAGGAATGTTTGAAGTCTAGCATCAATTGGTGCAGTAGTATGATTAACTTCAGATTCTTCTACTTCTTCTAATAAAGGACCAGCAAGTTTTAATCCTTGTTGTGTCAAATCATCAGTTGGATATTCATGTCCACCCATAGCCAACTTAAGATTAGCAAGACTCTCTAATTTCTTTTTATTTAAAACAGGATAATCAGTACCTTGTTCTTGATTAAACATTGTTTGTATTAACTATTTTAGGTTTTGAGTTTCATCTTCTTATCAGTACTATCTGACGTGGCTTTTAGTTTTCTATTTTTCTTATCAATCTTTTTATTCATTATTATTTCTAATTCATTTTCCTTTTTAAGTGGTTTTTGTTTAATTAATTTATTCTCTTTTCACTTTATTTCTTTCATCTATATTTTCTTTCTTTTACTCTTTTTTTAGCTAACTTGGAAAAACTCGGCTTTTTTTGCTCTAAAAATTTTTAGGTATTTTTAGATAATAATTTTCTTTAGATTATTTTTCCTTAATCCTTCTATTTGAAAAATTTTTATTCTTTTAATATCTCTTCTTTTCAAAAAAACAAAACTTCTCACGTAGTTGAGCTAAAAAAAAAAAAAGGAAGGGTTTTTAGATAATTAATAAGTTCAAAAAGTAACTTAATTTAAATTTCTTATTTTAGATAACAACAAATTATTATAATATTTTTTTGTTATATATAACCAACAAATAATATAAAAAAGAATTAAATTTTAAAGAGGATGAGAAATACCGAAATTATCTCCACCAAAATGATGAAGAGTTAAATATTTCTCTTCTGTTTTAGAAGTATATGTATAAGAACCATCTTTAAAGAATTTAGGATCAGCCCAACAAGCTTCAACAAGACCAATTAATAATTTAGAACCATCAGTTTCTTCAATAATACGATCAAGGGTTAATTCAATTTGACAAACAGTTTCAGCTATTAATAAATTACCAAATGAAGGGGTAGAACATTGTTTAAGATGAAGTCCAGTTTCTTTAAATTTATCAACATCATTACCATGGTGTTTACCAAAGAAACGAACACTTTCAAGAATTTCTTTTGTTGGTACATTAATAACAAATTTTTTAGTTTTTAAAATACATTTAGAAGTATAACTACTTGCTCCCATTTTGACTGCTACAGAAACTCTACTCAATGGCATATTCCATTGACAAGTCATTCCTGTTGTTCTTTGATTTTCTTCATCATAAGCAGTAATCATAACAACTGGTCCATGGTTAATAATACGAGAAGCTGTATCTTTGTTTATAAGAACACTATTCATTGTTGGTGTTTAAATGAGTTTTAAGTTTTATGCTTTTTAAAATTTGTTTTTATTTAAGGACGGATAAAGTCTAAACATCAAAGAACTACCATAATTTATCTTTTTTTAAAAAAAAAACTTATTGATTCAAAATTAATTCATTTTCTATCTCGAAAGAACTACGCAAACAATACCTAAACTAAGCGTTGCCACTCCACATATAAATAACAAGTAATTTTTTATTCCTCGTATTTCTCCAAAAACAAAAATTCCCCATAATGTTGAAACTAATCCTGGTCCACTAGCATTAATTGAAAATGTTACACTCCATGGTAAATAAGTGTTAGAATACATAAAACAAATTTGTGCAATTTCCCATATAATACCACTAACTATTCCAGGAAGGAAAGTTTCTGGATATAAAGTTGGTTTATTTGTTGAAATAATTGAATAACAAATAAAGTAAATGGATGCTGTAACAAAAATACCACATGCATGTGAAAATAAGTAACAATATTGTGTGTTTGGTCCAAAATTATTATCAATCAGATATTGAGGTGGTGTAAAATTGGAGCCAAAGAATAATCCAGTGATTAAAGCTAAAACTACTCCAATTATTCTTCTACCAACTGGATTTAGTTTATTTAAATAATCAAAGAAATTAAAATATTTTTTTGGTTGTTCTTTTTTTAATGATGGTTTTGAAGTGATATCAGTTTGAACTAATATTTGTGGTTCTTCACTTTTAATTTCTTGTAGTTGGTTTGTTTCTTCATTTTGACTTTCGTTTTGTTCTTTCTCATTTATTTCTTGTTGAACAGCTCGTTCACCTTTTAGTTCAGAATTTGCTAGTAAAAGAGACTTTTCTTCTTGTCCTATTATTTTCTCTATTAATTTATTTTCCTTTTCTTTTATTTCTTCCATTTTTTCTATGTTCTTTTGTTCCATAGATTTAATAAAACCATAAAATGGAACACTAATACAAGCCAATGCTGCACCAATGCAATTTAATATTTGTTTATCAACTGGTTGTGCATTAATACCAAATAGTCCAAATGATCCAGTACACCATCCTATTGCTAAATTAGAAATACCCCAAATACTAATACCTAATGATACTCCAATTGTTTGAATAACTGGTACTGTAAGTAAATTACCAGTTGCCCAAATCATACCACCTAACATAGCAAAAGGGTAAAATTGATGTGTTGGATTAGTAAGAAATTCTAAGAATAAAGCAGTCAACTAATAAGTCTTTATTAATACTTTTTTCTCTTTACTTAAAAATATATTTTTTCTTCACTTTATTACTGTTACAAAAACGAAAAAAACAAACAAAAATGCCTAATGTTAAGGTAAATTGGAAAAACATTCCATCTCCGGTTGGAAATTTTTTAACAACAACATAATTACTCCCATAAAATACTACTGAAACCAAACAACAAAAATATGAGAGAAGTGTGGTATTCATTTCACTCTCTTTACTTCCACATTTTTAAATTTAATTTTTTTTAAGGAAGAAGAAGAAGTTTTTGGAATTTTTAATTATTTTCTGTTATATTCAAAAAATAGTTAAAAAAAAAACTTAAAAAATTGAATTATGCAAACAACAAAAAAAGACATATTAATTCCTTTAGAAGAAATTCAAGTACCAACAAGAAACATTCAAGGATTAAAAGTTGGATTTCTTAAGAGTCCAGAAGGATGGTGTTCTTGTATACCACAAACTATTTTATTATTACAAAGATATGGATATGATATTTATATTGAAAACAACATCAGTGAAAATTGGAAAAACGAAGATTATGAAAAATATTTGTGTAACATACAAGAACGAAAAACTGTGATTTCAATTTGTGATGTGATTATATCCTTTTATTTTGATGGACAAGACATAAGTTCTTTTCACCATGATCAAATAATTATCACTGAACGACAAATAATAACTGAGAATTTTCAACAACAATTACTTGACTCTGGAGTTGAAGTGATCACTTTAGACACTATTCCTTTTCAAAAAGAATATTTGTCATATTCTTCTACCTATGCAAAAGAATCTGGTAAAGGAAAAGGAATAGGGTTAATTTCAATAGATGAATTAGGAATTGTTTCTTCTAATTATAAATATCAAGCACTTATTACTGAACCTAAAAATGTTTCATTAGTTAGTTGTGCAGAAATACTTCACCGATTTAATATATCATTAACAACAATGAGTACTAATCCTGATATTATTATAACTGATAAACCATTTTTAAATTCTCAATATAAACGAGGGACAATTATTATTCCAATAACAAATGAACAACTTCAATTTGACCAAACAAAATACACAATAATACAAATCACTAATAATAAAATAATTAATAAACATATCTCTTTGTCTTTATCATTTACAATAATGAATTTCTTGAAATATTGTAGGTTTAATGGTTTCTTCAACAAGGAAGATAAATTGTCCTCTTTTTACAGTCTTACTAACAACCAAGAATTATCTTATACACAACAAACAGAACTTATCAAAGAGTTACAACCACAATTAAAAGAAGTAGATATTGATGAAACATCTCCTAAAGAAAATGTATTTCTTTCTTTCATACGTCGTTATTTTAATAAAAGTTATCTTGGATTAATAATAGTCATTACATTTTTAATTCTTATAACGGTGTGGGGATCTTTTCAAAATTCAATAGAAACTACAATTAAAGATCCTATTCTTATTTGTGTATTATCTTGTGTTGTTGGAGCATTTATGGCACGAAGAATTTCCCCATCAATTCACATTCCAACTGTTTTATTACTTCTTTCTATATCTTGTTCTATTGGATATACTTGTTTAGATGTAATGAATAATTTCAAGGATGTAGTTGGGACTTCATACCGCCAATATGGTCCAGTCATTGTGGATCTCTTTGGATTATTATTAGTATCAATAATTTTAACCAGTTCTATTTTCCTTGTTATTAAAACGATGAAATTTTATTGAATTTAACAATTAATTTTTTGTTTAATACTTTTATTATCATGATATAGTAAAAAGGGTTTATTTATACTGGATCAAATACAAAATTTTTCATTCCACAACTCTTTGATAATCATACCACATGTAGTGAGATGATTTGAACTAGGTTGTAAGAGTAATTCATTGATATTCCCATTGTTAATTTATAGTAGCAATGGAGTAATGCCTTGGAACAATATAATAATTAGAATTTTAGTTAAGAAATAAGAGTTTTTAAAAAATTTTCGATGGTTATGAGGTTTTTGTATTTGGTGAGGTGTTGAAGACTAAAGGAGATATTATTTTAAAAAGTTATCTTGTGATTATTTCTTTGTTTTTGTAATATTTAAGTGAAATAAAGGTCATCTGGAAATCATTGAAGATATGAGTGTTTCTGAAGCTAAACCAATTTTAATTATTTATTTCACTCGTGATGGACACAGTGAAAAAATTGCAAATGATATTGCAGCAGTTATTCCTGCTGATAAAATTAAAGTAACTGAAGAGTTTAGTAGAACTGGAGTTGGGGCATATTTCACTAGCTTTAATGAAGCAGTTTTTGGAAGTGATAATTCTAAATATTTAAAAACTGAAGTATTTTCTAATACTGAACAATATAAAGCAATTATTTTTATTGGTCCAGTTTGGTGGTGGGGATTAAATGCACCAATCAAAAATGCTTGTAATGAAGTAGTAAAGAAAGTCAAGGCTGACCAACATGTTTTCTTAGCTCTTAGTTTTGCTGGTAAGTCAAATCCAGGAGATAAAGGAAGTTATGAAGAATTTGCTAAAATTTTTAATGGAAAAGCTATTGTTCATGAGAAGTATCTTGGATGCCAAGAAGATTATTATGCAGCTGGATCATTAAAAGATAAAGTCATAACCTTTGAGAATGAGGTATTAAAGTCAGTAGGACTTCCAGAGCTTAAAGTAGGAGAGTCTCAAGAAAATAAAGAAGAAAATAAAGAGGAAGTGAAAGAGGAGAAGAACTAGTTAATAAAAAGAAAAATAACAATTTAATATTTTCTTAAAACATCTGTATTTGTTTTTCTTTATTCTATTTTCTAAAATAGTGAAAAGGACCAAACTACAAATTAATTAAAGGTTGAAGAATAAATGGAAGCTTTAAATGAAAATGAAAGTCAACTAACTGGAAGAAAAACTGAAGTTTCAGTTACGTTTGATACACCTAAAACATCAGTTTCATTAACACCTAATGTCTCTAATGTTTATGAAGAGTCAAGTAGAAAAACAGAAGAATTAATAGAAGAAACTCCAGAGAATTCTCCTATACTCAAACGACAAAAAAATATCGTAGCAAATACTCGCCAACAAAGTGGCTATTTCTTCTTTACATCAACAGAGGAAAAACAAGAATCTCAAGATTTAGATTTTACTACATATACTGGAGCAAAGGATTTATTAACTATTGTTGATGGTTGTAAAGTTATTATAGACATTGGAACATATTCAATGAAAGTTGGACTTATTACTGATGATAGTCCAAGAAGACGTTTACCTATGGCAATTACAGAAATGAATTGTTGTGAAGAAGCAGTTAAAAGTGATGAATGTGAATTTATATTAGAGCCATATCATATTAATCCTTTTCAAGACAGTCAATTATTTGAAGATAAATTAAAACGAATTTTAAATGAAATTTATCGAGTCGTATTAAGAGGTTGTAATCCATCTTCTCATCCAATATACTTTTCTGTTAATCAACATTTAATCAATATAGTTGATTCAATTAGAGGATGTTTTACTCAATTAGGAGTAAATGAAATAGAATATGTTAATCCATTTTATGAACTTCTTCTTCCAACACAGTCTTCAACTGGATTAATACTTGATTTTGGAAGTGCTATTTCATTAAAAGCAATTATTGAAAATAAAGTTATTGAACAAATGGAAATAGATAATAAACTCATAGACACATCTAAAATATTATTACAACAACAACTTCATATTCAACCTTCAAAATGGGATACTTTAAGTGCACTTAAATTTTCTTTTTGTTCTGAAAAATTTAATTTACATAAATTCGTTATTCAGAATAATGAAGTTGAATGGAATGATGACATCAAACAAATGTTAGAAGATTCTCTTTTCGAAGACTCTTCGTTAATTAATTTGTTTTTAGAGGTACTTAAAAACTGTCCTAGAACATCTAGAAGAAATCTTATTAGTCATATTATTGTTGTTGGTGGATTAGTTCTTGATGGTATTGAAGAAAGATTAATAAAAGAATTAAAACAAGTAGCTTCTCAATTTCATGTCCAGTCAAGAGACTTCAAAATTATACATCATAACCATTCTTATAATGCTCAATGGGAGGCAACACAACAATATGTGAAAGACAATTATAATATTTGAATATCATTTAATTTCTTTCTTTCTCTTTTTTATCAAAATGGAGTTATTCATTTTGAAGCATTTAAAAAATAAAAGAATTGAATGACTATTAGATATTGTTAGTTAATTACATAATTCTTTTAACTAATAGAACATTAATTAAATAATTTCTATTACTTTTATTCTATCAAAAATTAAAAATATGTTACTTTATTTTACTTAAGAATGAATGAGACTTAAAAGAAGTTAGAGATATAAAATTATTATGTGTAAGAATTGAATTTCAAACAACTATTAAAATTACTTGGTTTATTTAATAAATTATTCAAATATTTTGTTTATATCATTTAATAAGTGTTATATCTTAAAACTATTTTTATTAAACTATTTTATATTTTAATATAATAATAAATTAATTAATTTACTGTAAAAAAAGAAACAAATAAAGAATGGAATTCCTTTTTGTTGAATAAGAAAAATAGAATAAATAAGCTTCTAAAAAAAAAAGAAACTAAAAAAAAAGATAATGATATATTATCTTTTTAAATCTCCTAATAGAAATTGTTTTGATAATGTTTGGTTATTTTCCACTTCTATAAGAATATGATGTTAAAGAAGGATTTATTATTATTATTATCAAAAGAATATGATATATAAATAATTAATATGTGTATTTGAAGAGTTTTAAATCAATACATTTGTATTTTAAAGTAAATTAAAATTATAAAACTTGTATATAATGAATAAATAATAAGTATATTATAATATATTCAATAGATAAAAATTATAACGTAGAGAATGTTGAGCGTTCTTGTTGAGTAGTAATATGATGTTTGTCAAATTTGGTTCTTTTTTGTTGTAAATAAACAGGAGGAATAGGAGAAAATAAGAAATTCTTCCAATTAAGAAGAAATCCAAGGGAGTAAATTTTAGGTAATTTTTTAATACTTTCATTTGTAGTAGTACCAGTAGAAATGAAATAAGTATGCATACATAATAAGTTAACAACAAAGAGAAAAAAAGGTAAACTAAAAACACAAAGAATAGGTCTAGTAATAAATAATTAATCGATTATATAAAAATAATGAACAAACTCTAAATAATAATGTTTTGAAAATCCTTCTTTCACATGAATAAGTGAATAAGGACGTTCTATCATTAAAAAACATGCAAGCAATGATGATATTTCTACATATAATAAATAAACAAACGAAAGTATTAAAAATTGATAAAAAATTCTATAATTTCTTCTTCCAATACAATTTCCTACCCAAGGACAATGATGGTCAAAATGTTCTATACAATTATTACAAATTCTACAGTGAATGGCTCTTGGTGGTTTCTTAAAAAAACAAGTTCTACAATAATATAATGTTACTTCTTTATTTTCAAACATTTTAATTGAACGTGATTCAGTATTAACTAATTGAGGATTCTTTCCAATACCATAAACTTTCCTAGGTAATATTCCAGGATTAATAAATGCAGTTCTAAAAAGAGATATCTAAAAAAATATTAATCTTGAGGTTATTAAAATAGCAAAATAAAATTAACAAACAATTACACAGGTAATTAATATCACACTCGGAATAATCATTAATTCATGTGTCTCTTCTATTATCCAACGTAAAGTAAATGAGGAGTGTATTATTACAATTACTAATAATATTACAATTGTTAATATTAATCTATATGGCTTTCCTCCAATTGTTTGTAAATGAAAACAAAATAATGGATATGACAATGGATAATTGGATTGATTTAATCTTATAAACTCTTTCTGTTTATCTTCTAAACGTTCATTATTAATTTCCAAATTAATTGAAAGATTATTTTCTCCATTTAAATGTTCATTCATCTGAATACTGATTTCTTTATTCTCAAGACTATTACTATATGCGAAGGGTGAATTAATACTATTCATAAAAGTAATTGAAAATTAAGTTTACGAAAAATCAAATTTATAAAACAAAAAAAATAAAAAAAAAAAAGATTGTCTCTTTATAATTCTATTTTTATTTACTAAAAACTCTTTATTGATGTTTATTTTATTTTTAAATTGGAACTTTTTATATTCTAGATGTATTTTTTTCTTGCAATTTAATTAAATCAACAATTATATAAACAATAATTTCTTAACTTATCAGTCTTTTAATTAATCTACACTAGTCATTTCTTAATAAATCTTGATATCACTTAACAATATTAAAATCCTGAAAAAATGTTAAACAACTAATTAACACAATTTAGTAATTGTTAACTATTTTCTTCGTTAATACATATCATATGTAATAGCATTTTGCTATGAATATTATCTAAATAATGGATATAATATTTACTTAACACATTTAACAAACATGCCTTTTATTTTAAAAGATCTTCTTTTTACCTCAACCTAATTATCAGTGAATCTCGAGATTTCATTTCAGTATAAACAAATTAAATAACTTTCTTCTTGACAGGTTAAAGGAGATAGATAAATGTCGTTTTTGTATAGTACAGATAAAGTGATTAATTTAATAATTTAAAGAGCTTATTTTATCACTTCTCTATTCAATCTTTTGTATGACTTCATTGTTTATTTCACCAATTCAATTACCTCAAGTTGGAACAATTCAATTTAGAGCATTACAAAAAGAAGATTATGATAAAGGGGTATGTTCAGTTCTTGAACAATTAACTTCTTGTTCAACAGATAAAAACAAATTTAACGATGTATTTGATTTAATGGTTTGTTATTATCTTCATTTTTCTTAACATTATCATCAATAAAAAAGAAGAAAGAAAATAATTATTACATTGTTGTTGGTGAAGATCTTTCCACCTCCCAAATTATCCTTACTGGTACATTATTTATAGAATCAAAAATCATTCATAATGGCTCTTCTGTTGGTCATATAGAAGATATTGCCGTGAGTAATTCTTATAGAAAAATGAATTTAGGTAGGATACTGATCGATACTTTAGTGAAACTAGGACAGGTTAACTCTTGTTACAAAATCATTCTTGACTGCTCTTCTTCGGTTTTACCATTTTATGAGAAGTGTGGGCTATCTAAAAAGGGACATTTTATGGCAATTTATTTTTAAAGAAATCAAATAACTAAGAGAAAAGTAAAGACTAGAAAAGATAAGACATGCTATTATTTCTATTATTATGTTATATGTTATTCTTTAAGGTTTAAAACTAAAAGATGAGTTAAAAAGTAAGTGACTGTATGTATAAAAACTACACAAACAGATACGTTTAGTCCAAAGAATAACAAAATAAAATAACTTGACAATATAAATTTCTCCATAAAAGATAATAAAAGAAAAATACTTTTTGTTTTAAGTCATCATATTATTTTTAGAATAAATAAAACATCTTGAATTGATTTTAAACAATAATTAATTCAAAATTATCATATTTTGATTGAGTTAATAATTATACATAAAATATTTAATTTGTATTATTGAAGATGAGTTTATAATTATTATTTGTTTGATTTCTTCTTTTTGTATTACTTCTTTCATGTGTTTTATTTCATTAATTGTAATTTTTATTTCTATTCTATTTCTTTTTAATGTATATAAATTGAATTAATAACAATTCAATTATATATCTTGATATATCTGATTTGTATATTTTCTTTCATTTCTATGAATAATCTTTTCTATATCATTTTCTTTTATTCAATTTTCTATAAAACATTCATAAAATATTGATATTTCTATTATTGTATTATGAAAGTATTAGACTTTGTTTGTTTTATATTCTTTTATTTAATTTATTCTTTTATTCCTTTATATTTTGTTTCTTTCTAAAATTCATTTTTCATTCATTTTCTTCATTTTATTATTATATAATTATTTAATTTATTCTTTATTTCTTTTTATATTATTCTATCATCTATATAATGTATTTCTATTAATTCATTCTTATTTCTCTCACTTTATAAATATA